GTCAGGATCAGTTAGCGGCATATCGTGATTACTCGAGACTACATATTCAAGTCCCCTGTGAAAAGGGTAGCTGCTTAGCAGCAGAAGTGCACCACTAACGCGGAATGTGTATGGTGGGAACTATGGGTTTGAGAATGCCAACAATACTGGTGCGTCTGTCCAGCCACGGCACTGACGCCTGCAAGTATGCTTGCGTGCGCTTTCTTACAGGTATGGTGTTCAGCGAAGTTTGAAAATGGTTTTCCTGACATTTCCGAGCGGATTCGAATCCAGGTAGAAAAGTCTTCGTGAACGAAACGCGGAGGAAGACCATCATCAATGAGCATTTCAGGGAGCACTACGCATGACTTCAACATAGCAGAAATAAAGAATAGTTTACTTCCTAGAAAAGCGTTTCCTGTTCAGGTTTTTAATACGGTGTTGTTATACTGTGTTCTATACCTGAAACCAGCTCAGAAATGGCTTCTGCAGCCTCGACCAAACTCAACCATGTCGCTAAAAGAGAACACCAGGCAAGCAGCATGCGCAGACGTCCACACCATCAGTGAGTACCAATAACATCAAATTAGGTTTAAGATATTCTCTTGTTGGCTAAGATCACTGTGAACCGTTACTTATTATAGTACCACCTACTGTCGGCAAGAAAGCACCACTTGGAAACAATCTACTGCTTATAATTCGCTATACCCTAGTTCGCTGCGGACGGTAGGCGTGTCAGGCAGTATGAGTGTGTCACGCCGTCAAAGCCGTTCTCTGCCTTCTTGTTGAAGCGCGCATGCGACAAAAAGTGGTAGAAAAAGTAATACGAACGATATGATACAGTCATATCATTTGCTCGCTTCAACAACTGGTGGAGAACGGGTTTGGCACCGCGCCAAACTCATCCCGCCTGACACGCCCAACCGTACCGCAGCGAACTACGTTATACGTCTGTCTGTCCGGAAATTCGATGCTATTAGGATCACAGATGCCTATCATTCTGATTGCTAATGCAGCGCAGTTCATTTCAATAATCGTATTCAAAGTGCAGCTGGCTACGGTTGCCATGCTCCCACCATCACTGGAACAGAACTCCTTGTCGCAAAGCGACTGTAAACTTTTAATTCTCTAGTTATGAAGTTTAGTTCAGATTTGTTCAGTTAAGCCAGCTGAAACAGTTTGATCAGAACAGTGAAACAGTCAGATCATTCGAAACGATCCACACGTCGATCTGGCGGGAACATGGCCTATAGAAAGGACGAATGCGAACGCGGTTCTGCACTTTGCTCCTTCGACTTTGCTCCCTCGCTCAAGTCTGATGTCAAGATTCAAGTTCAAGTTAACCGCGTGGCTGGATTTCAATTATCCAAACGGCGAGTCCCCACGACATCCCAACTTACGCGTACTCCTACTTTTTTCATCAGCATCACTTAAGTGGTAAATGTCCATCATGCTTGTCACCGAATGGCTTTATTATACTTATACTTATACTTATACTTTATTCTTTATCGCACAGACACAAATAGAGTGTTTTTGATCATTTGTGCGAAGATTCTCGAGGAACCGGCAGCGGTGAATAATGTCGTCCATCTTCTAGTCATGTCTCTGGTCCTTGCTCCAGTATAACGAGCGAAGTCGTCCAGCCATCTTGTTCTGGGACGTCCGAGACCTCTTTTTCCTTGTGGTATCCAGTCAGTTGCCACTCGAGCCCAAGAGTCTTGAGGGGACCTTCTTGAGAGACGCGCAGCGTAGGTAACCATTTCTTCTGTAGTGCCGAAACCACCCAATCTTTCAGCGATGTCCTTCTGCGTAGGATTTTGGATGAGATTTTGTCCGAAAGCCTAGCTCCAAGTATGGCTCTTTCTAAACGTCTTTGTGCTGTTCTGAGGCACATCGCCACTTCCTTTGTCCATACCCATGTTTCGCAACCATATAACACTGTTGGTAGGATACACATATTGATAAGTTTTCGTTTCAAACTCATTTCCACTCGAGCGAGACAGTCGGTTCTTGAAGTATGAGGCACGAGCTGCTTGAATACGACTATGGATCACATCCTTAGGATTTCGCGGGAACGTTATCCTTTGACCGAGATAACTGAAATGGTCGACTCGTTCGATTTCATTTTCCTGCACGTATAAGGGACCGTCGATATCTCCTAGATCGGCTTTACTCAATCTCATCCATTTCGTCTTCATAAAATTAATAGTGAGTCCCACTTTCTCCGCAGCATCGGCCAACATTTTTGCCATTATTCCAATATCTTCACAACTATGAGCGAGAAGGACAATATCATCAGCATAAGCTAGGTACGAGAGGGTTTTGTTCCCTAGTTTCAGTCCTTTGCCCTGCCAATCTATCAGATTCAGCGCGTACTGGAGAACTAATGTGAAGAGAACTGAGAGACATTGAGTCTCCTTGTCTTACACCCGCCTGTCGGATTGAAATCTGTCTAGTGGTTCGCTTATACGAGCGGCGCCGGTACTTGTGTGCATCATTGCAGTTGTATTGCCAATATAATGTTCTCTTCACATTTCCAAACTCCATCGTAATTCTTCCATATCATTGGAAGTTCCACGCTATCGAAGGCCTTCTTAAAATCGACGAAAACGGCACATAGCTCTATATTGAACTCGTGACATTTCTCGGTAATCATATTAATAGTGTGAATATGATCTATGGTCGAGAAGTGCTTGCGGAAACCAGCCTGCTCCGGTGGTAGAATTGACTTTTCCTCAATTGTGGCTGTCAAACGGTCTGTAAATATTCTTGTCAGCACCTTATACAGCGTCGACAGCAGCGATATTGGTCTGTAATTAGCGATGTTAGATGGGTCCCCCAGCTTTGTAGAGTAGAATGGTGTGAGCGAATGCAAAACTTGCAGGCACAACCTTTGTCCTTATCATGTTGTTGAAAAAATGTGTTATGGGTAAGGCGAGTATTTGTGAAAGAGCACGAAGAGAAGGGGATTGAATGCCATCGGAACCAGCAGCTGAACGTGCTTTGCTTCTCTTCATTGCCATTTGCACTTCATTATTGTGGACCTGCAGATTTATTTGGCCTGATGGTGGAGTGGGTGGGCCGAAGGAGGAGTGGTACAGTGCGTTATAAAAATTTCTCACTGCTTTCACTGACTGCGACACGTGATCAGGAAAAGGAGCGGTTCCAATTTCATCTGATGGGGAGGGGTCGCTAGGAGGGGAGGAGGTGGTTTCTTTCAGGATTGTCAAGGATCTTCTTGCGTGTAAAGCTTGCATGCGCCCACGTCGAAGGCGTCCGGACTTGATGGCTTGACGAAATATTTGAATATGCGTATGTCGCAAATCTCTTGGATAGTGTTTTCGGGCTATAGCTTTGAAATCTCCAGGCAATATCGACTTTCCCTCCCATTATCTCCGTGATGTAGCTCCTCGTGCGTCTCTCGGAGGAGATCCCGGGTCCTTTGGTTGATAACGGGTGGCGAGATATTTCATAACCTGTGTAGACATTGACAGTAGCTGTTGTTATGACGCGAGTAATGGTATCATAATCTTTGATTGTATCACCAGTCATCATATTTTCATGTAGTAAACATTGAGCGGTTGAACACAATAAGTCGCTGTCGATAACGGGGAATCCTCTTGGTCTTCTTACTGGTTGTGAGATCGGATTCAGACGTATTTTACATCTTAACATGCGGTGATCACTCCCCGTGTTAACACTAGTGAGCACTCCTACATCGACAACGCCCTTCATACTTCTCAACAATACATAATCAATCTCTTTCTTCAGTCCCAAGGCATCATTTCGCCATGTCCACCGATCGTCAAGTCTCTTTTTGAAGAACGAGTTAGCAAGAAATAGCTTTCTTTCCTCACAAAAGTCGGCCAACATTTGTCCACGGTGATTTCGAGCTCCTGAGGAATTGTTACCAATGTATCGCTCTTCATTACGGCGTAAACCAGGAGTTGCGTTGAAATCGCCCAGAATCACTTGGTGCTTACTTCTCCTGGCATCGAGAACATGAGCAAGATTGTCTAAGAACGCCTCGTATTCCACATCTTGAAAATCTGAATGGGGCGCGTGAACTTGTATTATACGGAGAGTGCTCCTATCGGCTAGTTTTATGCAAAGCTCAATCATTCGTTCAGAATGAAAGAAACAATCGCTGTGTTGATTCAGCGATGACGGTACATAAAATCCTACACCTCTTTTGGTTCGTTCCTCAGCTATCCACTAGGGGATATAAGAGTAAACGGTTGAGAGGTCTATTCTTCCTTTGCCAGCCATTCGTGTCTCCGAGACTCCAATGACATCGAACTTGACATTCTCGACCGCGGCTTCGAAGTCGGCAAGTCTTGCCGCGGTGGCAATGGAACGGACATTCATGGTGCAAATGCGAAGCCGGTCCTGTCTTTTTGGCATACGGTCCGCGCTAGCCAACTGCGTGTTGGACCGGACACGGCTCGTCCTCGGTGCGTTGAGTGAAGCAAGGAGTGGAGAGTGGTGAGGTCGACCGCTCACGGTGAATGAAGGAGGGAGAGTGATGGCTTTATTACTGACACTATAATTGTGTTCAATGAACCAAATTAGAGAACACCATTTAAAGCGTTCTACATCTGCATGCAGAAGCAGGACGTTAATGTAAGGGGGTAGGAATCCGTTGAGCGGTAACAGATCCTGGCGGGAGGGATTGAGATTTGGGGGCGGTTCTGTGGCTAATCTGAAGGGATGTTTAGGTTTCCGCGTCATGTAGACATTTTTTTCTGGCCGGATCAGCAGACGGGCGATATATGCCAGCAGCAACCATAGCACGTACTTTCATCAAAAGGGGTTGGGTACCAATGTAGGGAAGTACCGTGTGATGCACACGAGATTGTGCTTCAAGCAAAGTGGTAAAATTGGTAACTGAGGTCAACTCGACAATGAAGTCAAAATCTTCTTCTCATCGCAGTCGCCGGAAGTCTGGGGGAAAACAAAGGGGAGGTTGTTCCCCATATCATAGTGCTCTTTTTATTGATGTTCACAATGACTGAGAAATATCCAATTCAGTTTCTTTCTCAAGCGTCGCAGACTTTTTTCCCCAACCTAGTACCAACAGGAAGAATGCTGACGAAATGAAAAAATGGTAGTTAATGACAGAGTGCTAATGAAAACAGTTGGTTCAGTCTGAAGCAATGACAGGTTCGGTGTCTGTGTGGTGTTCTTGTTTGTGCGCTTAGGGAGGGGTACATTTGTCCAGCCTCATTCTTCTTCAGTTCCTGACTAATATAGCAACAGTATGGTAAGAATCACCATACCGTTGCTATATTAGTCAGGATCACGAAGATGAGGAATCCCCATAATGCAAATTATGTTGACACATGTTAACTTGGAACTTTGTCTGACAAACTTTATTGAAATTAATCGATAATGATTGACAAAAATTTTGGTTTTCCTCAACGTTTCACATGCAATTGACTGAATTTTGGCAAATTTTTCTGAAGACAACGTTCTCAATGTAAAGACTGTCAACTACGACGCCGTCTTTCAATGTTTCGCCTGTCCGGTGTTTTCGCATTTTTACGCCTGACACGTTCCCCTCGGTCTCTCATCCAGGCAGGTCGCAACAACTCCTGAAAAGAGTGAACTGAACCTGTACTGTGTTTACATAGTTCTACACATTCAATTTGCGGCAAGGACGGCGGAAGAGGTCTTAGAAATGGCGGCGCGCACGCAATGTTTGACCAATGACCCCCTGAATATTGATGCTACGCTGATAGCTCACACCTTGTCTGTGGGGAACCATTTGGCAAAACACAAACCCCCCTTAATTTCCGCAATTTCTTCCACTTTTCCTGCTTAGCACCATTCCAGATTCTGACGACTGAATACCACTCAATCGGAAATTCCTAAAACAAATTTCTTCTTTACCCTCACAAGACTGCCGTGCACGGGAAGTACACTCGAGATCCCTGAGATCGGGTAGGCGTGGCCGCATGTTTCAACTTACCCTTAAGGCTTCTACGCTTCTGATGCCATATTTTCATCTCGACACAATTGTTGTCGTGTCTCTGTCCAACGCAGAACAAGATGACAGTTGTCCCAGACTGGAATATTCCACTAGTAACCAGTTCCTTACAGTGTTCGAATGCTCCGCCTACCCGATCTCAGGGATTTCGAGTATACGTAGCACCTCAAAACAGGAAAAAAACCGAGAAAGGTGAGCAACGGAAAACAGTTTCCTCAAGGGCAAATTGACCCTGAACCTCCCTCCGGAGCGACCTACAACTCCTCTCCCTAGGAATCCCGAGGATAAATTGCCTCATACACAACGTCATATCAACTAATTAGGAAGTAAGTGCTTGTCTGAGCGCGCTGCCGCGACTCCGGTGTCCTACTACCGATCTACAAACTAGGGACACTCACGTCTGAGTCTGATGCCGACTTCTCGGGTGGTTCGCGGCTGCTTTTTGTTGTCGGCTCCTTCTTCTCCACGGCGGATCTCTCCTCCTTCGCTTTGTTAATACTGGTTTTCTTGACATCTAATCTTTCCGAAACTTTCTCCGTAGGTTTTTCCGCAGACTTGACAGGAGGGGAAGACTTAGGCTGCTCCTTGGATTCATCCCCAAAAGTGTTACGCAGAAAATCGAAAAACGATTTGGATGGCGACGGCGCTGATGCATCACGGACCTTTTCATTCTCCACACGATTCCTAGATTGAGCTGCTCTTTTCGCTTCCAATTGACGCTGAAGTTGGCGCTCTTGTTGTCGTTTTGTGAGAACATTTCCTCCCCAAGCTATTGGCACGAATTCAGGATGAAGAAGTATGCAGTCGAGAAAGATCCGTTTTGCCTGAATGGGTATGTTTATATACATTGCGTGAGAAAGACGAGCGTCTCGGACGACAAGCCGCTTCAGCATTGTCAAAGGCACATTTCGCTATCCCTGAGAAGTGGAATGTTCTCCGTGTATAAGGAGGGCCAGCAGCGCACCCCTTTAGCCATTCAAAGTGCGTGGCAAGAGTTCTGGTACTAGAAATTCTGCCCTACCATGTGTGAGTGCCCGCACGTGTTACTACTGTATGCTTTGAGATTGTCCCACCTTTAATGGGCATGTGAGGCGGAGCTGGTGAAGCGGTAAGTGGTACGCTCTCGGCTATGGACCACTTGATTTGACACTCGTGATACGCGGGTCCCGAGAAATACCTCCCGCCAACCAAGAATTCAGCTCTCTGGAGACGGTGAATAGATACTAGAATCGTCTGGGAGAATAAGGGCATGGACTTGTAAAACGGCTGGCCCCTTCGAATCATAGGTCTAGGTCGCACACGTTCAATGAGCAACCACGATTCTTTCGAATCATAGGTCTAGGTCGCACCCGTTCAATAAGCAACTACGATTCTGAACGGAATTAGAGTGCATGCCGCATCCCAAAAAGGATTGATCAAGACTCTATTCTTTTATCTTTTAAGCATGTGCGGCGGTGTAGTACTCCTCCGTACTTGTTCGGTCTGTCCTCGCAGACTCAATAACTAGGCATCTCTGGTTCTTAGTCACTTCATGCTCATCCTATACTCATAATCGGTCAAACCTCATTTGAGCCCAACTGTACCCCTTTCACTTTTTCTCCTTTACGAGTAGTAAGTAAGCAAGTAAGTAAATCAACCGGCACCTAACTCCACATTCGGACGACCTATCCATGAATTACAGTTGTAGAATGTGTCTTTGTTTGTGTCTTTTAGCAGAAATGCAGGTGCTGTTCGTGACTTACCCGAGAGCTGTCCAGCAGAAACAACCTCAACTCATTATCAACAACGTCTTCGAAAAGGTCTGGTCGCATCAGAAGAACTTCGATACCGTAACCAAACGCCTTGTCAATAAGCATTACAACCTGAAGAACAAACTCTCTTTCACTCTTACTGTTTCAAAAGACGGAAAACCTTCATAGGCATTACCCTTTGATCAGGCTTCGGAATTTCTGCTTCGAAAAAGTTCGCTAGCACCTTCGCCTCCATGGGTTTCACAATTTGCTCGAGAATCTGATTTCTTTTCATGATAGCCAGGCCTCGTAGTGCCACTGCTATCTGGTCGTCTGACTGAAATATGACGAATCGTTATTTAAGTGCCTCAGGTAAAGCGCCTCTAAATCCTCAGCTCACTACTGAAGAAATCAACCATTTATTGTAGTGTGAATCGTACCGGCCTCTCTTCATCGACTGATACTCTTGTTCTTCGGCTCTCACTTGATGACTTTTCTTCATCGACAGGCTTTCTTGTTCTTCTTTCCTCACTTGCCGACTTCTCTTCTTCAGAAGCTCCCTTATCTTCTCTTCTAGAGCCAGTTCCACGCTCCAAGTGCATTATTCGCTTGCTCAGCTCGCTTATTTTCTGAAATTCAACTCTTCACGGTAGAAAAACTATGGACTGGTTGTGAGAACGCATTTTTAGTTTCGACGACGCTGGTCCAGTATGCCTTTACGTTGACCCAGTCTCATGACGTCATTGGTTAGAAATTACGTCTCATGAAAGTGCCCTCTTTCCACGCTCTTTCTATTTTTAAGACGGATCACACCTAATGCAGGAGGGGACGGCCTCCAGTCAAGCTCAGTGAAAGGAGATGCGGAGCAGACGAACCATTCTGTCAATGTTAAAAGACGTGCTCTTCCTGGCGCGGGTTCTCGGTGCACCCATGCTCGAAGCAAGAGACTATGCGGCGAGGGTATGTATGTGAAGGTAGGGCCACGCGGCGTCGCGTGCGACAATTGCAAACACCGTAAGCTTACGATCGGCGTACGCTCGCAATTTTGTTATGGTGCCAGTGACATTTTTTCAACAGGACACTTCGTCGTAAGTACCTCAACAATACGTCAATAAGTGCAGTCTGTGAGAGTATGATGTCCACAAAGCAGCGTGACAGCCAAATGATTCGAGGTTCAGAAAAGCTAATCGAACTCGAGAGCAGAATATGTGCAGGTTTTCTGCGCCATATTTGCTATGTAATCACCCCCATAAATCCTATCCGCGGCCTCAACGTGGCATGGGGGTGGTGGCTTCGGCCAGCGAACGCGGTGCCTCCTGAGGATAGAAGCATTGCAGAACTTCACTCAGGAGGTTCATTCAAATTCTGCACAATAATGATCAATGGATTTTTCAAGTATCCCGATCAGAGCTAGGTTGCCCACCGTAATGGGCCAAACTAGGACGTCCACCGTAATGGACACACAAGCTAGGAAGTCCTCCGTAAAGGACAAGCGCGAGACCATCAGGATCGCCACACTTAACATCGGCACCCTGACCGGCCGTTCTGCCGAACTGACGGACATGCTGACGGAAAGGAACATCGACATCTGCGCGCTTCAAGAAACGAAATGGGTCGGCGCTAAGACGAGAAGGATCGGAGGATTCAACTTGTACTATAACGGAGAGCGATCCAAAGTCAACGGTGCCATTGCAGTGTCACAGAGGCTAGAGCATGCAGTTCAAGATGTACAACGGGTTTCCGACCGCATCATGAGAATTACTATGATTTTCGGCAAGAAGGGCTACCCATATTATGTGACGCTCCACAAGGAAACTTTGCCCACTAGGGACAAGGATAAGTTCTGGGAGCAGCTTGCCGACGTAGCATCCGCGCTTCCATTTGATGAAGACCTGTACATCATGGGTGATTTCAGTGGACACATAGGCGCAAGCAACCACCAGTTCGAAGACACTCAAGGACGATTCGCCTATGGCACAAGGAGTCACTTGATCTGATCAATCAATTCCTTCTTCTTGAAGAGAGAATCCCACAGGTCACGTGCTATAGTGGGGGACGTAAGACCCAGATCGACTACATTTTGACACGGAGGAGCCAACGAAGCAACGTGCTAGACTGCAAGGTGATCCCATCGGTAACGGTCAACAGTCAACATCGTCCAGTCATTGCGACCATTAAGACCGGCCAACTCATCTGCCTTCAAGCAGCCGAGAATCATCAGAAGGCTTTTGAGGTGGAACAGGATTGCTACGCTGAGACCAACTGTCAAGGACCACTTATCGATGAAGATCCATCAGGCCACGTCCGAAGACGTTGAGAATGACTGGAAAAGACTTGTCGGTGAAATCCGAGATACTGCGCGGCCCATTGGCTATAAGAAAGGATTTAAGCGTGCACCGGACCGACGGGCCTGGTTTTGGAACGAAGATGTCTCAGCCGCGGTCAAGGCAAAGAAAGACGCGTACAAAGCTTGGTACCTCAACCCTACGGAAGAGACCAGAATGAGGTACCGCGAAGCCAAGCGAGAAACCAAACGGACAATTGCTAGTGCCATTAAGAGCAAGGCAGAAGCTCTTATCGCCGATCTGGATACCAAAGAAGGAGAGAAGCAGATTCACCGCCTTGCCAGAGCTCGCTCCAGAGCAACGCAAGATTTCACGAGCACCACGACGTTCATTAAATCTGGCAATGGAGTGCTCCTGTATGACTTTGAGAAAATCAGGAAGCGCTGGCAAGATTACTTCCAGGAAATCTGCAACGTCGAGTATCCGCATCCGGCGCTTCCAAATGAACCACCGACCCAAGGGCCCATCCCACGTATCACCGAGGATGAAGTTGAAGGTGCCATCAAGAAGATGAAGAACAGGAAGGCTACTGGTCCAGATGACATTCCCGTTGAAGTATGGAAGCACTTCGGAGGTCGCTCCTATCTAACGCAGCTTTTCAACAATGCCTGGAAGATGGAGTAATCCCGACGGACTGGTCAAAGTGTGTCACCGTGCCAATATATAAAAAGGGAGATATCGCTAACTGCAGCAACTACCGACCGATTCGCCTAATGTGCCACACTTTGAAAGTTTTTGAACGTGTGCTGGACGCCAGGCTGAGGGAAATAGTTAACATCAGTCGGATGCAGTGCGGATTTCGACCTGAACACGGGACCACAGACGCCATCCACGTTGTTCGCCGTCTGATGGAAAAGGCTAGAGAATGGAACAAGCCACTTCATTTGGCTTTTCTGGATCTGGAGAAAGCCTTCGACAGAGTGCCGCGTCAACTCATTTGGGAAGCTCTTCGGTATCAGCAAGTTCCAGAAGCACTCATTAAGGCAGTCCAGCTGACCTACTTGAACTCTACAACCTCTATCCGGACACCTGTCGGAGACACTCCACAATTCCGGGTGGCTGTCGGTGTTCACCAGGGATCGGCTCTTTCGCCACTGTTGTTCATTCTATGTATGGACTACGCTACGAGGAACATCAGGAAAGAGCCGCCTTTGACGCTGGGATATGCTGACGATGTACTGCTGATGGACAGATCCAAAGGGAAATTAGAACGGCGCGTCAACCGCTGGAAGAGAGAGCTGGCCAGCCATGGACTCAGGCTTG